AAAACTCTTGCCTAGCTGTTTACTTTATTGAATTACATTCATTTTTCTGCCTCCAGAATTATTCTCTCTCATTGACCATTCTTTCTTCTTCATTATTCTAGAATTTCCCCCTCAATACTCTTTTATACCTTTGCTGTACTCTCAGAATATTTAGAAATGCTTTTGAAATATTTTTGAAAATACATTTAGAGGATCAATGAAGTTGGATTGTAAAACTAGACAGTACCAGTAGGTGACATTTATTTAAGCATTGTCATATTTGAATGCTAATATGACTCAAGCAAATATACTTTTATAATTATAATTGAAATTCTATTAGAATGAATTTTTAAATATCATAGCTTGTAAAAAATAGATTTTTATTATAAATGGTATACATAAACATATTGAAGTAATATTAAAACCAAGAGGATAAGTATAAAATGAGAAAAATTTTCTCTCCCTAGTCCTCCCCTCAGAACTAACCATTGTTTTCAAATTTTTATGTTTTATTCTAGAAAATATAAACAAACACACATATATGTATTTCTCTTTTTAATAACATCAATTGTATGGATATATTATTTATTTAGCCAGTCTCCTATTAAAGGGAATTTAGCTTTTAGGTTTAGGTTTTTAATTATTATTACAACAGATACTAAGGCAAATATTATGTGTATCCGTTCATTGCACATGTGCGCAAGTACATTTTGTACAATAAATTCCTTACAGTATCATTACTGTATCAAAGGTATGTGCATTTAAACTTTTGATAGATGTTACCAGTGTTGTTTCCAAAGAAACTACCAATTTACTCTCCACTAATATTGCATCATCGTGCTGGTTCTCTACACAGTTAATGATAGTGGTTATTAGGATATGAAGACATGACAATGTAAGTGGTGAAAATTTTATTATTTGAATTCATTTAATCATGAGTGATGTTTGATGCATTTTTCTTTTTAATTTGGCCATTTGACTCCCTTTATACTTATTTTCCCCTGTTTTATTAAATTATTAGTTCTTTAGAGCTTATGGTAGTAGCCAAGTAGGTCATGGCAGGCCAGTGCTCCCTCCCATTGCAACAACTACAAAACCTGGGTGGATTTTTTTAAATTGTATTTTTAAAAGCATAAAATACATCTGTGAAAACAACTAAGACTGAATAAACTAACATTCCCAGGAGTGGGGAGTGAAAGCATACCATTTTAAAGTGCCCTGGGCTGAAGATCCATCTTGACCCAGATAAAAGACCACTTCCAGGAAAGAGAGAAACTAGCAAAGCTTTTAATGGCTGTGGTGGGTGATGATAATACATTATAAATTAAGGTCATCAAATGCAAACCCAGTTTTTACCAAGGACCATTTGTTGATTTCTGGGGCCGTATATGAGACTGGGGAGCTAGAACCAAAGCTTCCAAAGTAGAAAATGAAGTTTCTCTGAACCTTATGATATTTGGCCAGCAAATACCCATCAGAAGAACAGGCCTGTATCAAGCATACAGCCAGTCTTCCCCTGAAGACATTGTGTCCATTTTGAATATTGCTAGGCTAGGGGACTTCTGAAGGATGAACCTGGATCTCCCACAATCTCTCAGGGCTGAGGAAATAAAGACCCACCAGACTGTCAATCAGAAGCCCAGAAGGGCCATTCCTAAAATGCAGATGCAACAACAGAAATAGAGTGAGTCTCCCCAGAACTGTAACCCAGCTCAGTCATTCATAGGCTGACAATGTGATTACCCAAACCAATCTGACAACCAGAAAAGGACACCCTCTCTTTGGAAGATCATATCATCTGAATGTTTTATATACAATATATGGCATACAATAAAAAAATTAGTAGACATGGAAAGAAGCAAGAAAATATAACCAAATCAGGAGAAAATGAAACCAGATAAGATAAATACTTTAAAGTAAGTAATTAATATGTTTAAGGTATTAAAGGAAAAGATAAACAGAGAACTTCAGCAGAGAATTGGTATCTAAAAATAGAGTAAAATAGGTATTCTACAACTGGAAAATATAATATCTGAAATTAAGAACACAATAGGTAGGTTTAACGCGATATGGATACAGCAAGAGACACTATTAAGAACTGTAAGAAAAGTTAATTTAAAAATCCCTAAACTGCAGTGCAAAGAGAAAGAAAAAGAATGTAAAATATGGATAAAAGTCAGATATTTGAGACATGTTAAACTTATAACATATGTTAGAAAAAAGGAGAGAGGGAAGGGCGGAGAGAGAGAAGGAAGAAGGGAGGGGAGATGGTGGGGAGGGAGAGAGAAAGAAATAGAAGCAGGAACAGCAGAAATATTCAAAGAGATAATGTGAATTTTCCAAAACCAATGAAAATACATCAACCAACAGATTCCAAAAGTTCTTAGGACTCTAAGCAGAACAAAAATAAAATCATTTCCAGGTACCTCATAGCAAAAGTTTGGAAACGCAAAGCAGTAATAAAACCACCAAGATGCAAAAATAGACATTGTCATCTTCAAAGGAGCAACAATATAAAACGGTTAACTAACTTCTCAACAAAAATTATGGAAGCCATAGATATTAAGAGGAAATCTTTAAAATACTGTAAGAAAATTACTGCTCACCTAGGATTCTGTTCCAAGTGAATATATCCTTTAAAATTGAATGCAAAATAAAGATATTCTCATACAAAAATTAGAGGAACTTGTCACCAGTGAACCTACACACAATGAAAAACTAAAGGAAATCCTGCAAGTAGAATGAAAACAATCCCATGTAAAACATGAAAATGCCTGAAGACATGAAGAACAAAGGCAAAGGTAAATGAATACTGACATTACAAAAGAATAAAAGCAACATCTTTTGGGGTTTGAATGATATGTAGAATACAAACATTCAATAGCAACAAACCAAAAGACAGAAAGAAATAACTTGAATTTAAAAGCGACAAGGTTCTAGCAGTACTAAAAAGTGATAAAAGTGTTAATTTGCACAATTGACTCATAGTCTAATACATTTTGTAATCTCTAGGGTCATCATGAAAATAATAGTAAAGAATGTATAAATCACAAGCTAATAAAGGAATGATAATGAATATTTAATCCAAAAGGCAAAAAGAGAGAAAGAGAAACAAGAAGAAACACGAAATAGATGGGTGGAATAGAAAACTAATACTAATATGTTTGATATAAACCCAGCTGCATCAGTAATTACATTAAGTGTGATTTGACCAAGATTGTCCGACTAGATTAATAAAATAAAACTTAACTTTTTTCTGTTTATGAGTCACAGTTTAATAAGAACACCGAATAAGCAAAAGTTAAGGATCGAAGAATATAGTATACAAAGAATTACCAGAAAAAAAAAAAAAGCTGATGCGACTATTAATATCAAAGTATACCTTAAAATAAGATAGTTCATAATGAAAAAG